GGACAGGACACCACCCTGTGGTACCACCGGTTTAATTTTACGTGGCTTGCTGGTTTTGTCTCTGAAAATTACTGACGAATGTCGACCACTCAGGTAATTCGCCACCACCGTTTGAGTCCCTGTGGGAGAGAGGAGGCCTCTGTCTTCTATCAGCGTTGAATGACTGACAGTGCCGAACGCTTTGTTCTTCACAGGGGCGGTTTCGGTTAACCCATTAGTGCATGAAGTTCCCTGGCGATATACTTACCTTTTTTTTTATCATTATGCATTGAAATAAGTCTAATAAAGTAGTTTTAATTCGATTTATTAAAAAAAATGTGTTTTGGGGGTTTTGGGGACCGTCCCTTATAAGGGACACTATGCAGTATGGGCATTTGAAGTGTGATATTGCTTGAAGCATTCTTTCGGATGAAGCCCTTTCTCGCACTTAGTACATACAAAGTTAGACTTCTTTCCGCAATAGGCACATCTCTTATCCGTATTCGAGTACTCAATCATATGGTTTTTTCCATCGTAGCGCGCATCAGGGTTGATGCTGGTTCTACTCGATCCTCTTGAGGACGGCATTCCGTATCTCTCTAGATACGAATTGGCTATGTACCTGCGAAAAATTAGCAGAGTGCCACAATTTGGGTCGTTCGGATGAACTTTCCGCATAAGGATCCATGCGTTTACGATCGATGCGTCCAACAAATATGCAAATATGGGCCACCACCACTTACGCTGTCTAATTCTAGACCGGTACACAGCCACCATCTGGTCCATTTTATCAACGCCTCCCATGCCTTGATTATAGCGCTGAAGAAGTTTCGGCTGTGGTATCTGTATCGCACCTTGCCCTCTCGCGTAGCGCTTGCACGTCCCGATATCGATGGTATCAAAGTTGGAGCCAATGGTGACCACATTATTATCTTTCCATCTTACAACGAGAATCTTGCCATCCATCGTCAGTAAAACGAAAATCGCTGGATCCTCGCTGCTCCTTTTTCATGGCGGCTATTTTACGAAGAGGACACTTCTCTATGCGACCGTCTCTAATTGTACCAGATGTACAAATCCCCATACTGGCCAAATTGCGCAACAGTTTCACGGACGTAAAATAGTTGTCGATGAAAAGCTATAATGTAAATTATATTATTATTGTAATATCATATGACGAACATTTCATTTCTTACCTTGAATCCCTTATGGTGTGGTACATTTGCTTTCGTGAGGAGATCAACCACTTTGTCACCTCCTACTCCATATCCTTGTGGGACGCTCTCTGCATTTTTGTCCATATACACATCGAACTGAAGCATATATCCATCGCTGGAATTCAGAGCCCAGTTTTTGAATCCAAATCGAATGGACTTACCACGGATATATTGTTTAGCATAGTGCCTACCATAATACGGTATCATGCTCTCATCAATGGAGAGATTCTCGTCCATTCCACCATGCTTTAGAAACGCCTCGTTCAGGTGAGTAATTAGTGGCCTAATTTGTAAAGCCGATCGGTACCCTGGGCTTGCGTGTTGTCATTCAGATGGAAATTATTTAGAATTTTCTCAAATCGATTCAGCCTCATGCTGTTCGCTAGCAATCTTGGCGAATCAGATTTCTCCGACCAATACAAACGTTTGTTGGGGTATTTTGCGTACCCCGACATCAAAATACCGCCAATAAAAACTCTCGCCTCGTCCATACTCATTCTCAGGTCAACATTTTTCTGAAGAGCATATAAATTTGTCTGCTCAACACAAAAATTTATAATGCCTTCAGAAAAAAAATAGCTCAAAGAAATCAGTAGGCGAACTGGCGGCTTGAGCTTCGGCACTCGGCGGTATTGTTTCGCATTCCGTTTGTATGTCGTACACCGGGTCCACTTTTCGCCAACGCAAGGCATTTCCCGCACGCACACTCGAACTGACGGTTTTTCTGTATTTAGCCAGTGGCTCATCGTCACTGTCACTCCAGTCATCGAATTCGTCTTGGATCTCGCCTTCCGCAGTCAATAATTTCGGGCCGAGATGATCCAAGTTCGCCTCGTGTTCGTCATCACTACCGTCCGAATCCTGGTCGGTCTCATTTTCCTCCAATGGTGGGATTGCAAAAATGTTAAGTTCTTGCAACTGACCATCAAAAGCTTCGATCTCTTCCAGTATTTCAGCTACTGTTAGTCTGTAATAAAATATTATTGTTGTAATAAAATATTATTGTTAACTGTCCTGTCTGCATAGCGTCCCTTATAAGGGACGTTGGATAAATAACGGTATTATTCACAAATTACAATATTTTTATCACTCACAACCACTTAAATTTGTTTATTACAATAAATTTAAGATAATTGCATTTAAAATTGTTAAATAATTTCACCTGTATTTATTTGTTATTCACATTTACTTACCTCCCACGTGTTCTGATATTTTTTTTTAGTTTTTGTTCCATATTTCGCAAAAAAAATCACACAATTTAAAGTTTACTGCACTGCAATCAATCACAAACTGGTTTGGTGTAATGTCAACAACTATACCATCAACTTACATGAGATCTGTATTGCAAAATGGGAGAGTAAGAGAGCAAAAGCTGACCGCCCCTTTAAAGGGACCTTATGCACTAATGGGTTAAGGCCACGAGTTATCTGAGTGTTTATGGCGTTCAGTGCTGTTGTTGTACTATGCACTTTACGGAACTCATACTGATGCTTCGCTGGGGTCAGGTGGTTCGTGAAATACGGGAGT